ATTGGTATCAAAATTCAGTGACCAAAATTGTTATATCTAGTCCCTCTAGAGAGTACTTTTACCTTTGAATCACTCTACTCAGTATGTTAAACCTTAAAATAGCACCTTGACAACCATTTATCCATTTGATGTTTAAATTTTTTTTTAAGTATTGCTATGGAATAGGACATAGAATTGCCTTGGATAATCTGCAAGCTTCTTACTATTGGCAAAAAGAGAAGCCTTTTATTTTTCAGACCTAACTGCTTTTACAAAAAGAAGGAAAACAAAACAAAACCCTACTCTACACTTTGTTGATCTTGGCACCTTATCCTCTATAATGAAAGCTTCAACCATTTATCAAACTAAATGAACTAGGTGTTGACAAGAGAGCAGGATTCCATAATTCTGCCCTTTATACTTCTTGTTTATATACTTATTGGTTTAGCAAATTTGATACTACCAGAGTGTTCCCTTTCATTAGTTTAACTGGGATTTCTGTTCACAAAAACCATTCAGCTTAGTGGGATAATTCTTTCTCATATGGCATACGGGGGGCTTGACCAAGTTAATTATTTTTGTTTCACTTAGGTTTACTGCACATATACCATGTGTCAAGCATTTTCACATGCATTATCTACCTTAATCCTCACAATAACCAGTGAAGATAGATAGTATTAGCCCCCGTTTATAGATGAGAAAACCGAGGGTGAAAGAGGTTAAGCTCACAAGAAGTAACCGAACTAGAATGCTTACATGAATTTTCTGACACCAAGACCAATATTCTTTCCACTAAATCATGCTATTTCCTTACAATTAACTAGGTGTGCCAAAATAGAATGGAAATGCTACTCCTACATAGAAAATATAATCACTCGCATTATGTATCTGCAAACTTTTGTCTTATCTTGAATATCAAAACATAATTTGTGCCTATATTTTCCCAGAGAAACATAGAACGATAGAATAATACAATGCTGTAAACAAAATTTCGACCAACCAAAGTACTTCCAAGTTCTGATTTTCTTAGGTGCTCAAGAATTTACGGCGGCTAATGAAAATTTGCCATTGGCTTCAAATTGGTGGTTATAGGTCACTCAGGTCTCTACACAGACTTCTCATCCAAACTTCTTTGGCAGTAGCATATTTATTCCATAATATGACACTCAGTGAAACTCAGAAATCAGTGGGACACATTTGAACTCCCGAAGATAGAAGCATTGGAGTGAAATGTGCAACGCTTTTGAAACTGGATGACATGTGTGGTCAAAGCTATGGCCCTTCACTCTTTGCTAGGCAATGTCCAAGTGCTTTACATATATTACCCAACATCCTGTATGGTAGATACTGTCATTATCCCTACTTCCAAATAACCCGGAAACTGGAACATGAAGAGGTTAGATAACCTGTTCCCACTCACATGGTTAGTGAAGAGCAGAGATAGGATTTGTCGCCAGTCTGGCCACAGAGCCTGAGCTCTTAACCATTATGCTATGCTGCCTCTCCAAAATGGAATGTAAAGTATTAACTGATTTTATGAAACACACCACAGACTTTTTTGCTGACCTGAATCATACCTTGCAAATATGGCAAGTAGAAAATGTGGCTGTCATGCTGTATGTATATAATACAAAAACCAAACTTAAGACCAACTTTTATCTAGTATAGAAACAAGGCATAATTCAAAATTATAATGCTCTCTGCTTCCTTAAACGAGACCAAATCCCTTCCTTAAACCAAATCCCTTCACTTTCCTTTGGCTTCAAGTTAGGTCATGAACATGTGTCAATGCATGCTCACCATTTGCTGGCCACCATGTGCCCCTCAAGACTTGCTCAGGGTCTTTGGGGCCTCTGCACTTACCTGGACCAAGTCAGGCAGGGAGCAGTATATTCCTCTGCTTGAAACCTTGCACCATGGGAACCTGCCCCCTCCGGTTCTGTCTAGTCCTGCCCACGGTCTGCACTGGCATCCTGCCATCCCCTCACCATTGAAAATGCTAAATAAGGGCTTATAGCTTTGTGTTTCCACATTGTGCTTGATTCTTTGTGGTAGATGTGGGGGGTGGTTCTACATTCCCAGCCCATCCTAAATTCCTATCTTCTATAAGTGGAGCTGCCTAGTTTAGAAAGTAGCTGCTTGGCTGAAGTAAATTCTTAACAAATTAGTCTCTTCTAGGATACACATTAAAATGAGTGGTTGGAATGGGAAGAAGACAGAACAGAGTCAAGAAACTCCGACTAGTGAGACTGAAGTGAGGCTACAATGTCATGATGGGTGTGAAAGAGATGGGCAAACTGTAAAATCCTTTGGAGACCGTGTGGTCCCTTCACTGTCTAGGCCAGTGGTTCTCAAAGGGTAGCGTGTGTCAGAATTACCTGGAGGGCTTGTCAAAACACAGATTTCTTGGCTCACTACTTCTGATTCTGTAGGTCTGGCTGGTGGCCAAGAATTTGCATTTCTATCAAGTTCCCGGGTGATGCTGAAGCTGCTAGTCCAAGGACCACAATTTGAGAACCACTAGTTGCTGGATGAGTAAAATCCTTTGTGTCCACAGGAGGCATACAATAGACACTCAGATCGGGTTGTTATTATTACTACTCTCCATATCTTGGTAACCCCAACGTTTGCTCTCTTCTGCTTCCAGATTACTCAGCAGTTTGGCTGAGATTTATGCAAAGAGAGACAGCATTCCTTTTCTACACTTTTATATGTAGCAACCTCCTGCCATTAATACCCTTTCTTATTTAAAAGCTGCTTCGCAGTTTGTATGGAACTCTCACATACGTTATTGTGTTTTTATATGAAATTCTTCCCAATTTCTGAGCATAAATTATGCCAAGTAAAGTCTCATTAAGAAACATGCACTTAAAGCGGGGGACGGGGCGATGAGGAGTGAGGAGAGAACACCCCCTCCCCTTAGCATTTGCAGCTCTGAATGTAGGCATAGGTTTAACTCAGACCAAGTATCCTAGAGGGGATAGGTGTCTCCCTTATGGATAGAAGGTGCAAAGTTAGAGCCCCAAAAAGCAGTGATAATAAACATCCCTCTTGTGCCCCTTCTCGCCAAATAAAGCGAATGGGTGGAGGAAATCCCGGGCAAGCCCTCCTCGGCAGGGTCCCTCAAGCTGGCGCCGAAACTGCGACTCCCACGCCGACTGCCCTGGCCCCTGCGCGGCAGCCCGCTCTCCGCAATGCAAAAACGCAGCAGCATCGCCCTGCAGCCCTCTCCTGGGGGATCGCACGGTGCAACCAACCCTAAAAACGTGGATGCGCGACGCCCCCTCAGCCCCGCGGGCTTCCCATTGGCCAGTTGCCGCTGTCACTCCCTCTTAGCCTCGCCTTCCCGCTCCCGGGCGGAGGCAGCCGGGCGGGGTAGGTTGCGCGCTCGCCGCGGGCTCGGGCCGCGGCCGCGGCTTTGCAGCAGGCAGCGGGAGCGGGGCGCGCGGGCCGGGGAGGGCCGGGCGCGCTGCGGCCTCCCGCCGGCCCATGCGGGCAGGGCCGGTTGCAGGGCCGGGAGCAGCAGCCGGCGCCGAGGCGCGGCCGACTAGGACCTGCCCGGCCGGCTGCCCCGCCCTGCCTCGCCCACGCAGCCCGGCCGGCCGAGAGGGATGCCGTGCCGCCCAGCTCCTCTCCGTCCTCCCGGTGCCCTGAAAGCAGAAAGTTGGGGCCAGGGGTGTGGTTGTCTCCCTTCCCCTCCCTGCAATGACTGCCAAAGACTCTTGCGGCTGCCCAGCTCCTCCGACTGTGGACCTGCTTCGCTCCCCAGGTCGAAATGAACTATTCCAAGCTGTAACGCAAGGCTCCCCTTCACTCGTCCCTCTCCTCAGCCCTGCCCTTAAAGAATTTTTTTTTTTAATTCGAGAAATCGTGGTCTGCCATCCTCCCCTCCTTGTAATAATTGTAGACCCCCCAGGCCTCATTTCTGAGTATAAGAGGGGGTGCGGTTCTTCTCCCAAGACCGGCCGCGCTGAAAAGGACAGATATCCCCTTGCCACCCACATACAACATCGAAGAGTGGCAATCGACGAGCTGCAGCTAACACAGGGCGAAGAGCGGATGGAGTCTGGGCTGAAATGCCAGCTCTCCCACCTGCCGGGCGCCGGACCGTCCGGCCTGGGAGACCACGCGGTGCTAACTCGCTGGCGGGCCAACTTCAGACGCCTGACCATACGGGCGCTGCCGCGGAGCCCAACCCAGGTTCCCCTGAAGCAAGCCTCCTGATTTAAAGGTGAAAGCAGACCATCCCCCGCCAAGCCCATCCCGCGACTGTTAGCTCTTGCCACTCCACGCATAGAAGTGCTTTAACAGTGAACAAGTGAGGGGGAAGTCAGCAAAGTCAGAGAGATGAGCGGATGGCTGGCTGGCACCCAGGGGGGGACTCAGGTACCGATTTGTGGCCTTCTGTCCTTTCAGCTCCATTTCAGGCCTCTGTGTTTGTTCCCCATCTTATCAGCAACGCTTAGTGATCACCTCATCCCGAGATTGTTTGCAACTAATGTGGAAGTGCTATTCGCAGACAAGGGGCTGAAGTCCAACGATGCCTAACCAAAAAGTGGACAGCAAGGTGACCATTAGTTTTCCTTGCTGAGTAACAGTCTCCTCACCACATTGGGAAATCCCATTTTTTTTTTTTTCTCGTGAGATGGAGTCCTCGTTCTGTCGCCCTCAGGCTGGGATGCAGGGCGCGATTCTCGGCCCCACTTGCACACCGTCCGCCTCCTGAGTTCAAGCGATTCTCCTGTCTCAGCCTCCCGAGTAGCTGGGAGTACAGGCACGCGCCACCACGCCCGGCCAATTTTTGTATTTTTAGTAGAGACGGGGTTTCACCATGTTGGCCAGGCTGGTCTTGAACTGCCCTCGGGTGATCCACACGCCTTGGTCTCCCAAAGTGCTGGGATTACAGGCGTGAGCCGGCCCCATCGGGATCTTTGAGCGCCTTCCTGGATGAAGCTCAGTTTGCCGGTCTGTGAACAGGGGGTGTGGATTTCCTGCCGTTAGGTGGAGCCAGAGGTTAAGATAGTGCTTGGAGATCGCTCTGCCTGCTGCTGAACCAACCCCCAGGGTGGAGAACTGACAGGTGGTGAAGCAGTGCTTGGGCTGGTTTGGGGCCTCAGTTCAAGTTGCATACATGCTGAGACGGCAGCTAGAACCAGAAGCCGAAAGAACTGTTCACATGGAGATGTTTATTTTCTGGCCTGAGGTTGCCGAGACAATTGGCGAGCTGTCTTAAATATATCTCTATCAATTAAAACAGCAGCTGAGATAAATAATGCACCTTTGCCGGAACTGCCACAGGGACTGCAGGCTCAGGCTTCTCAAGGCAGCTCACCGTCCGGCTGAGCGAGATGTCAGCCCAAGGAAGGAACTTAGATGCCTTGGAGATTGATGCCTCAGTTATTTTCTCCAGAGAAGGTGCGGGGTCTGGGCTAGGGGAACGGAAAGGACTCCGTTGCATTTAATAAAGCCTGTATCCTATGGCAGCAGCCACTAAGGAGCTCACCAGAATAAGCCAATGACATTCCTCATTTGGCCTGAGCGGCTCAGAGTCAGGAAGTCAGAGCGCAGGTGAGTGTGTGTGCTCTTACCTGTGTATGTTACCTGCCTGTGTGCCTTGGGGAGGAGTGAAAAGGGGGACGACTAGGTTATTGTTATGTGTATTTTTTAAATTTTGCAGTAATTCAAATCTGACCTCTGGTTCTGCCGCTGTCCTTTTCAGAGCTTCGTGGCTAGCCTTATGTCTAGAGGATCTCTGTGGGATAGGCTCTCTCTGCACAGGAAGCTTGAGCTTTTGCCAGACCCAGGGAGTCCTTGGTGTTTGTCTCTGCCGTCACCCGCGAGTCCATCCCATGTGGTCAGGAGGTGTAGTGTCTGTTTTAAGTGAGATGGTGAGGGGGAAGGGGTCCCTTGAATGCTTTTGTAGGGAGGAGGCTAGCCTTCTGCTGCTGACTTCAGCCTCATTCTGAACCGGTCCAGCAAACCCTGATTCTTTGACCAGATGAGACCCTCAGCTGAGTCTGTCAGAGGCGGTCTTGGAAATTCCCCACTCTCCAACTCAGGACAGCAGTGGAAACTGCTTTCGCCATTTATTCCCCCAGTTGCCTTCATGAGGAAGATGGGTTGGTCATGGCGTGGGGGCTGCAGTGTCTCTGTAGAGGGACACCTTAAGGGATGCCTTAAGCTTGTTCGTTTCCACTCTCCTGTGTCATCTTTCTTTTTTTTCTTTTTTGGCGATGCCCTCATTCTGGTCAGGGGCAGATGTAGTAACAACTTTACATTTGGTATTAACTGCCGAACTGCCCTCAACCAGAATTGGAATCAGTTGCAAGAAAAGAAGGTTCCCCCCCACCCCGCCCCCGATAAAACATACCACTGAACCCAGCAATGTGGACCCAGTAAGGAGCAGAAAACCCAGCGGCAGCCTGCTTGTGGGAGCTCAGGGAAACAGCAGGGCTTTTCCTGTTTATCTCTGTCTGCTTCATCACAACATGTTTACTACCGGGTGCAAGGGACTTCCAACCAGATGTGACTTGGGGACTTTCACAGTTTGATTTGCTGTGTGGTCTCAGGCAAATCACCCAGCTTTTCTAAGCCTTTTTCTGGGGAAAGGGACTAAGAATATTGGAGAGTGTCCAAACTTATTTATTTAGAGACAGGATCTTGCTCTGTCACTCAGGCTAGAGTGCAGTGGCATGACCACGACTCACTGCAGTCTCAAACTCCCGGGCTCAAGTGATTCCCCAACCTCAGCCTCCCAAGTAGCTGGGACTACAGGCACATGCCACCATGCCTGGTTAATTTCAAATTTTTTTGTAGAGACATGGTCTTGCTATATTGCCTAGGCTGGTCTCGAACTCCTGGGCTCAAGCAATCCTCCCACCTCAGCCTCCCAAAAAGCTGGGATTACAGGTGTGAGCCCACCGTGCCCAGCCCCTCCAAACTTTCTGGAAAAGTTGTTTTCCAATACTGTTACAGTTTTCCAATGATAGAAAAATTCCATTATTGGCTCTGGAACTGGGTAGAAGTTGACTGGTTTTAGATTTGTTGGTGGTACCACAGAAGGGTGTTTAATTTTTAATGCTCCCTACCTCATCCCTGTGTTCGGTCAAGGCAGATAAGCAGTCTGGTTTGCTTTTGTTTTCATTTTAAACTTTGGAGATGATAACTTTTGGTACCTTAGCCCCACTTCTATTTTGTCATGACAGCTCCAGGCACTGTGATGAATTAAGTGCATTGGAAGAAATCATCTTGGGGCAAACAAAAAAAATAAGAGACTCTGTATAAAGCACCTCCATAGAGGTTGGGGAGGTAGGGGAAGAGGAGAGAATTTTTATCTTTGCCAAAGAGATCTGAATGGTGTTTAGTGACAGTCCGTGGTTTCAGGGGCTCCTATGGTCTGCCTCTGGTCCTTTAGCACTGTGGACCATCTTACTGTGCACTGTGAATTTCTGCTACAGTGCCCTGGGATCTGTGATTATAGGGTGGGAAGGGCCAGTGAAAAGTAGTAGTTAAGCAGCAATTTTAAAACTGTAATTGAAAAATAACCTAAAAATGGACATTGCCTCACAGGAGGCTCATGCAGATACATTGAGGGCCTTCTCAACTGTTCCACACACCTGTGGGACCTTCGGGGAAAATCTCAGTAGACATTCCTGCCAACAGGAGCGCAACAATTCAGTCCCATTCTTCAGCCACTTGCAGCTTGAATTCCTGTTGAACCACTCGAGTTCATGTTTTGATTCATTTGTCCTTATCGCCCAGTCTTTTTCTGCTAACAGATTCCCTGCTTGTTGGGAGGAGATACTGGGGTTGCTAAGCCACAGAGAGTGCTGGCTGACCAAAAGTACACCAGAATTCTACAGCAAGAAAACCCAGTTCCCTTGCATATGGGAGGAGACGGGGAGCTTAGGGGAATGCTGCAGACAGGGAACACACATTCCTGTTAAAAATACAGCATACGGGCCAGGAGCGGTGGGTGGCTCATGCCAGTAATCCCAGCACTTTGGTAGACCCAGGTTGGTGGATCACTTGAGGCCAGGAGTTTGAGACCATCCTGGCCAACATGGTAAAATCCTGTCTCTACTAAAAATACAAAAATTAGCCAAGTGCAGTGGCACACACCTATAGTCCCAGCTACTTGGGAGGCTGAGGTGGGAGGATCGCCTGAGCCCAGGAGGTTGAGGCTGAGGCTGCAGTGAGCCATGATCATGCCACTGCACTCAAGCCTAGGCTACAGAGCAAGACCCTATCTCAAAACAAAAACAAAAACAAAAAAACGTGTGAATGTGTGGTAGATACTTCTGAGGCCCAGGATGAGTGGCCAAGCTTAAGGGTGAGCTGTTTCTGTCCTGATATGTGATGGAAGCCTGAAGGCATGGGAGGAAGTTACCGACCTCCCCACCTCTCTCACCCCTTGTGCAGTGGGAAGAATTGACCCTTTCCTGAAAGGAGGTGTCTGGGGATGCTGGCCCGGGCTTTCCCCCTGGACTTCCCCTAAGGTTCTCTTTCCTCTCACAAAAGCCCCTGTAAGTAATTTCCCCGGAGATTTCTGAGCAGTATTAATATCTTTCCCTGAAGAAAAAGGGGGAGCTCCAAATTCCATCATTCCCCTCCTGGTTTGAAGCACTTTTGACTCAAGACTCATTTGGGTTCCAGCTCATGTTCTAGTCACACCATACACTGGTCTTCCTGCCTACTTAGTGAAGAGCAGGAAAAATAATTTGAAGCCAGATATCTGAGAGAAAGTCACAGCTGAGTCCTGTGTGGTTCTCCCTGCTGGCTCTCCACCTTTCCTGGTGGTCACAGGCAGCTTCCTCCCACTGTGACTGGCCTGTGTTCCTTCAGTGCTCCTGCGGACAGCCCGCTAGAGAAGGGTTCATGCAGTCAGCAGATACTGACCACCTTCAGCAGGAAAGGTGCTGCTGAATTAAATTGTGAAACATGCTTATAAAAGAGCCTGAAAACATGTGTGCAGTTTAAATAACAGAAGCAAAACAGACACCTCGTCTACCCGTCAAGAAAAAAAAAAATTGACATTTCCGAGAAGCCCCTGCTTGTTTTCTATTTGTTTATTTCTTATATATATATTTTTTCAAGGCTCAGGGTTTTGATAAAATTTATAGGTCTCAGTTTCTCCTTTTTTTTTAAAATGTTAGTCAAGCGAAGCAGTGGGAGTGGAGAGTTTCTTCATATTTTAAATGAAGGAGAAGACAAACTACTTCATAAGAACGTGGGTGGGATGAAGATGTGTGCATTTCCTGGGGCTCTCCAGGAGCTTATGGTTGGGATGGCTCTCTGAGGGCCTGCTGCATCTTGAGGCCCCAGTAGATATGTTAAGGCTTGAAGATTCCTGCAATCTCAGGTGGGAGCCAGACGCCTGGGGTAAGTTTCATCAGAGGAGGTAGAATTGAGGTATGCCTAAAAACAAAGAAATGGGAAATTGGTTATTTGGCCTCACCTCCAGGTGAGCTTCTAGGTCAAATAGGATGAAATACTTGCAAGAAAACCATAGTGGAAATACACATAAGTTTAAGGGTGCTTAATGCATCATGCAGTGCAATCAGAAACTTATGGGGGTTTATCAGGAAAGTTGTTCTGCAAGAGGTGGCTTTAGAGCAAGATTTTTTTTTTTTTTTTTTTTTTTTTGAGATGGTGTCTCATTCTGTCTCACTCAGGCTGGAGTGCAGTGGCGCAATATCGGCTCACTGCAGCCTCCGCCTCCCGGGTTCAAGCGATTCTCCTGTCTCAGCCTCCCGAGTAGCTGGGACTACAGGCATGCACCACCATATCCAGCTAATTTTGTATTTTGAGTAGAGATGGGGTTTCATCATGTTTGCCAGGCTGGTCTGAAACTCCTGACCTCAGGTGATCCACTCTCTTTGGCCTCCCAAAGTGCTGGGATTATAAGCGTGAGCCACTGTGCACAGCCTAGGGCAGGATTTTAAAGAAGGGGTGGAACATTTATTACCAAACAAGAGAAGAGGGGCTTTCCAAATGGGGGGAGTGAGGTAGCAAGTGCTTTTGTAGGGTCTTTGCCCTGTTTGACTAGAATGGTCAGGAACAATGGAGGGTAGTGCAAATGCTGAAGTTATCTGTTTTGTCCCGCTTGTACCTTATGAGGCAGGCAGAGGGTTGGAAGGCCCAGGATTGCCCCATCCCCACCCCCTCCAACCTTCAGTAATATCCAGAGCAGCCCTGTATGTGGGCTCTGGGGGAACTGGTGACCGATGGGAAAGCATGTGGCAAACGAAGCTCCCTGTTCTCCTGCCACATATTGAGTTCTAGATTAATTCCCAGCTGCCCTAGTTGTTCTAGTGGGAACTGTCTGGCAGGCTCAGTATTTACAGAATGTGCTGCTTTTTGTGTATCTAATTGTGTCTTCACTGCCAATCCCATTAAGAATTTCCTTCCAGAAGGAGTTGAAACATCTGATAGGACCTAAATTTTGGGTTGAAGTTTTAAAAGAGTATGGGGTTATCAGGAGCTGGGGAAAAGGGCTCAGGCAGCTTCTCAGTGGTGGTCTTAAAGGCCAACTCAAAACTCATTTCTGTTTTCATCTCTCCCTTAAG